AAAACGTCATCTACGTTCTTGCCTGTGCTGTGCTGAATGACTGCGCCAATGGCCTGTGTGACAGAAACTCTCACTTGGGAATGCTGGTGAGAAATCGTCTGCAGCAGGGGCTTCAGAAGACTCTCAGCCTGCAGGTGGAAATGATCTGAGCAAAGAGAGACAGACAGACAGACAGACAGATAGATAGATAGATAAAGGTCGAGTAATGTATCTGCTTGGATCCATTATACAGGAATTAAGTGGCAAGCAGGGCTTAGATGGATTGCTGGTTGTCATGATAACATGGTCAGACTGATGCCCCTGACCAAAATTAACGCCAAATATGAGTAAAAAAAATGTGTTGGCGAGTATATTTATTAATTCTTTTACAATACCTGGGAATGTGATATGGTTTCCCTGCAGTTTTCCACCAAAATAAATGCTCAATGATTTAATGTTTGAAAGCAAATAAAAAAATAACCATAAATATTAGTATTGTAATTTTACTGTTGTTATATGAAATAATAATAATTATTATTATTATTACTACAGTTACTTATACAGTTACACTTACTGTTACAATTCCTCTATGCTTGTAATTTGTTTATTTCCTATGCTGATTTACTCACCTACAAAATCACTCCAATCATTTTTCTTTTTCCAAATAGAGCTATTCAAGTCATCTGGTGATTTTTTTTTTCTTTCATATCGCACATACATCACAGAAAAACTAAATACCACAATGTTTTTTCCAATATCGTGTAGCCCTAATATATATATTAGAATAAAATACCACAACAACTAACAACACATCTAAAACCACAGGGAAACTTCTCTTTTAAAATGCGCTTCTTTTGTTGAAAACTGATTTCTAAACTTGGGTAGATGTTTGGCACATGTTGCATAAACCAAATCACAATCTCAGGTATTGTTAGAATTAATAAATATACTCGCCAACACTTTTTACTCTCATTTGGCCGAGTGTTAATTTTAGGTCTTGGTCAGGGTCATCAGTCTGGCCTTGTTACCGTGACAACCAACAACCCATCTAAGCCAAAGTCTTTGTCTAAGATCAGTTTGCCACTTAACTTCTGCATAATGAAACCAAACTGACATGATATTACCTTTATTTATTTTTTTCATATATACTGTATCTCAACTGTCTTTTAAAGAATATCAACAGCTTGAGGGCCCCACTTACCAGGAATGCTCTGTGCAACACTGATGGCACATTTACAGCTCTCTTTCTTGACTTCAGGAAAGGGATCTCTGATGGTTCTCTGCAGGATCTTGATCATGTCATCCAGGTAGGGGGCCAGCTGCCTGCCGCACACCTCCTCCAGCACCAGAGACAGCGTCTCCATCAGAGCCAGCCTGAGCTCCTCCGCCGGCTCCAGGATCTCCTTCCCGCCGAGCCTCTGCGCCAGCGCGGGCATGAGGTAGGGCAGAGCGTCTTCTGGTCTGGGGACAGCTCTGATAAAGCCCGTGAGGATCTGAACCGCCGTGTCTCTGCACGTCTCCGCAGGATCTGACAGACATTTCAGCAGCGCCTTCAGCAAACCGGTGAAAAGCTCCTGCAGCGCGACGCTGGACAAGCGCTGCTCGACGGTTTCTCTCTTCACCGCTTCTAGAGCTCGCCTTCTCGCGCTTTTGTTGTCGTCGTTTAGACAGTTCAAATGGCGAGCCAGAGATTTTAAAACATCCGCTGCAGCTCGCTCATCGCTGGCGGTCGCCATTGCTACTTCACGTGTGTGTTTGTTGTTGAGGGAGACTGGTCGTCATGGCGATCGTTGCCACTACGACTGTAGATTGCGACAGCTTAGATTGCTTTACGGTAGATGTTCATTCAAAACAGCTCAACTTTATTTTACTTCGAGTCCATGATCAGAACAAGATTTGTTTTTTTTTTCCACAAAGAAAAAAAATAACGAGAGGGTTCAATAATAATAAACATACAGAAAACATACAACCCTTTTCAAAACAAATATGAGCGTATGTGTGTGTATATGCAACATATACTTTTTTTCTAACTATTTTATTTTCTCACTATTATTTATCATATATACAGTATATATGTATATGTATGTATGTATATGTGTATATATATATATATATACAGTATATATATATATATATACAGTATATATATATATATATACAGTATATATATATATATATACAGTATATATATATATATATACAGTATATATATATATATATACAGTATATATATATATATATACAGTATATATATATATATATACAGTATATATATATATATATACAGTATATATATATATATATACAGTATATATATATATATATACAGTATATATATATATATATACAGTATATATATATATATATACAGTATATATATATATATATACAGTATATATATATATATATACAGTATATATATATATATATACAGTATATATATATATATATACAGTATATATATATATATATACAGTATATATATATATATATACAGTATATATATATATATATACAGTATATATATATATATATACAGTATATATATATATATATACAGTATATATATATATATATACAGTATATATATATATATATACAGTATATATATATATATATACAGTATATATATATATATATACAGTATATATATATATATATACAGTATATATATATATATATACAGTATATATATATATATATACAGTATATATATATATATATACAGTATATATATATATATATACAGTATATATATATATATATACAGTATATATATATATATATACAGTATATATATATATATATACAGTATATATATATATATATACAGTATATATATATATATATACAGTATATATATATATATATACAGTATATATATATATATATACAGTATATATATATATATATACAGTATATATATATATATATACAGTATATATATATATATATACAGTATATATATATATATATACAGTATATATATATATATATACAGTATATATATATATATATACAGTATATATATATATATATACAGTATATATATATATATATACAGTATATATATATATATATACAGTATATATATATATATATACAGTATATATATATATATATACAGTATATATATATATATATACAGTATATATATATATATATACAGTATATATATATATATATACAGTATATATATATATATATACAGTATATATATATATATATACAGTATATATATATATATATACAGTATATATATATATATATACAGTATATATATATATATATACAGTATATATATATATATATACAGTATATATATATATATATACAGTATATATATATATATATACAGTATATATATATATATATACAGTATATATATATATATATACAGTATATATATATATATATACAGTATATATATATATATATACAGTATATATATATATATATACAGTATATATATATATATATACAGTATATATATATATATATACAGTATATATATATATATATACAGTATATATATATATATATACAGTATATATATATATATATACAGTATATATATATATATATACAGTATATATATATATATATACAGTATATATATATATATATACAGTATATATATATATATATACAGTATATATATATATATATACAGTATATATATATATATATACAGTATATATATATATATATACAGTATATATATATATATATACAGTATATATATATATATATACAGTATATATATATATATATACAGTATATATATATATATATACAGTATATATATATATATATACAGTATATATATATATATATACAGTATATATATATATATATACAGTATATATATATATATATACAGTATATATATATATATATACAGTATATATATATATATATACAGTATATATATATATATATACAGTATATATATATATATATACAGTATATATATATATATATACAGTATATATATATATATATACAGTATATATATATATATATACAGTATATATATATATATATACAGTATATATATATATATATACAGTATATATATATATATATACAGTATATATATATATATATACAGTATATATATATATATATACAGTATATATATATATATATACAGTATATATATATATATATACAGTATATATATATATATATACAGTATATATATATATATATACAGTATATATATATATATATACAGTATATATATATATATATACAGTATATATATATATATATACAGTATATATATATATATATACAGTATATATATATATATATACAGTATATATATATATATATACAGTATATATATATATATATACAGTATATATATATATATATACAGTATATATATATATATATACAGTATATATATATATATATACAGTATATATATATATATATACAGTATATATATATATATATACACACACACATATATATATATATACCCTATATATATATATATATATGTGTGTGTGTGTGTGTATACACACAAACATATAGTTTTAAATACCATTAAATAAATAAATAAATAAATAAATAGTATATTGACAAAGCCATAAAAGATGAAGCACATGAGAACGATTTCTAATTAGATGGTGGGTATCATACATACGGATTTTTTAAAAATAAGTATTTATTAGATTTTGTGTTTGACAATAACACTAATCTTGCCTCCATGCAATTTGAATAATACATGAATAATGTAAGAAAAATCTGCTTATTATTTCCTAATCATGAATTTTTTTATGTTCCATAACTGCTCATTTGGGAAAAGGATCTGACATAAGCACAGTCATCTGTGCATATAAATGTGTTCAGTCACAAAACATCACTGTTTGCAGAGGTCAGCATGAGAAAGCATGCGCGCTATTCTGGTTGACGCACAGACCCACAATGACGCTGATTGGCTGCATCAGAGTATTATGGAAAATAAATAAATAACTCTAAAATAAAACTTAACAGTCTCAACCCACCAACATCTGCATAAGAGTTACAAGTCTTTTCTGATCTTTTAAATTACGTATTTCATTGTAGACCAGTAATGTCAGCGTCCAATCGGGAGACGGATTGACGTCATAGCGCTCGCGAGCAGCAGGACCAAACAAGCAGCATCCCAGAGCGCGAGCCCTCCATCTCCGCCTCGTAACGGTAAGCCAAATCAACGGTAAACACACCGGCACGCGACTGTTTTTAGCTTAATATACCAACAGACGCGGTTTTATTAAAGGTCTAAAACCATTCACACACCGCATAGGTTTGCATTTAGAAGCGAATACGCGGTGATAAAAGCGTAAACAGGTGATCACAGAGTGATGCTCCGCCGACACACCGACGCGTCGTTTTTCACGCACGACTGAATGCGGTACCGGTTTCGTGAACGTATACGTCGAAATTGAGGATTGATGCGACAGTTGCCGGTGATCTTTAAACGGTTGATGTGAATCAATGGCGGAAGTGAAATGTAAATATGTAACATACAGAAGAATGGCCTTTGTCATCATCATCATCACTATGATTTAGTCATAATGTCATGTCTGTATCTATCTATCTATCTATCTATCTAAGCACTGTGTTTTGTGTTTTTGCAATAAATGATTGATTGACACATACATGCATATTGAATATATTGTGGATTTCATTAGTCAGGCAGCAGGCTAGTTTATCAACTGAGAGAACAAGTTACACAGACTTAAGAACGAATATCTCTTCTCCCCCCCCCTCCTTCACTCTTTTCTCTTGCAGCAGTGATAGAAGATAAGATGGCCACCTCCTCCTCCAATCTGGAAGAAGACGAAAGTCTGAAAGGCTGCGAGGTTTTCGTGCAGAAACACAACATCCAGCAGATCCTCAAAGAGTGCATCGTCAACCTGTGCATCGCCAAGCCCGAGCGGCCTTTGAAGTTCCTGCGGGAGCACTTCGAGAAGCTGGAGAAGGTGCGTTACTCTTACTGTATTTGCTCTGCTGCTGGTTGTGTTTGTATAAGTTCTGCATCTGCATCGGAAAGTGTGATGGTTAGGGATCTGGGCTGCTGGCGCAAAGGATGTGGCTTCATTCCCATGGAACTGGAGATGCCGGAGCTGGAGAGTTATTGAGATCATTGCCGTCCCATTTGGCCTGGTACTTAACCTCAGGATGCTCCGGGGGGGATTGTTCCTGTAATGAATGTACTGTATATTGCTTTGGAAAAAAGTCTGGCTGAATGCACTGCGATACAGTGTTAATGACTGTATTCTCCTTCCCTCAAACATCCACGATCATTAACTGTCATTGTGTTAGCACTCATAGTGAGGTTCTTTATGTGTCTTAATTATTGGCAAGTGAAGCACAATAGATAGATACCAAACGTGTGAGAAATAATTGCATGTTTTAGAATGAGAAATCGTTGGTTTCTCTAACGCTTCTTTTCCTGGTGCAGCTGCAGAGCGTGTGAACTTGAGTGGATGGTACATTTTATCAGGATCTATGAAAAATCTGTGAAGTTCATTTGCAGGTTTTAAAATGGATTTTGGATATAGTAGGACTTTTATAGTCCCCTTTCATGGGAACTTCGAACTGTGTCCTCTAGGGGTCGCTATGGGGAACGCCTCGTCGTGACCCGTGTCTGAAGCATACATTGAAAAAACACCAACTCGTTGGCCGGCGACAGCCATGACGTCACTAC